AAAGAAAAATGACCTTTTTGAAATTACCTGGAACACTTCTATTAATTTATGATAATAAAGATGGGTGAACAAATGGCTGTCTGACAGTCAAGAATCATTCAAATCAGACAAGGAGAAATCTGCTCATGCTCTAATCGGTGAGAGAATGCATGTGTGTCAGGTGACTGACAGCAGGAAGGTGGGAACCAGAGTATTTGGAGGCACTCAGCTGTGTGATAAAATTTTCAGGAATAAGAATAACCATAGCTGGCAACTGTAATAACTTTGGAATAGAAAATGGAATTAACTCCCTAATCAATGACAAGCAGGCCTGCTGCTTATTCAACCATCCAAGGCACAGAAAAAGTCTACATACCTTGGACTGGTACAGAATGAAAAATGATAGACAACATAAAAAGTCACCTTTGTGAAGACAAACTAATATGCAGTTGTTCATTAGCTCGCTGAGCCAGTTGTTCTGTAGTATGCAGACGTTTCGTTACTCTTCTAGGCAACATCATCAGTGCAACCTCTAACCGAAGCATTGGGGTTCTGCTTCCTTCCAGATTTATATGGTCCTCTGGTGGGATGTCTTGTTGCTTCTGGTTCTGTTGTTTTAGTAGCGATCTGTGTATGGGATCTATTTCTATGTGTTTGTTAATAGAGTCCCGTGTTGAGAACCAGGCTTCCAGAAATTCCCTTGCATGTCTGGTGTTCGCTTGTCCCAGCATGATCATTTTGTCCCAGTCAAACGGATGGCCCTCATTGTCTGTATGCATTGAGATAAGTGAATATTGGTCATGTCTTTTTACTGCCGGCTGGTGTTCGTATATCGTGGTTGTCAGTTTCCCTCCAGTTTGTCCAATGTAATGTTTATCGCACTCACTGCATGGTATTCTGTACATCACGTTGGTCTTGTTTACTGTTGGTATGGGGTCTTTAGTCCTTGATAACATTTGGTGTAATGTTGCTGTAGGTTTGTGTGCAATCATGATCTTACATGGTCTTAGGAGTCTGGTAGTCATTTTTGATATATTTTTGATGCAGGGTAGCATTGCAAGTGTCTTCTGTTGTACCCTGTCCTCTCTGTCGCTTGTTTTGTTGGCATCTGCAGACAAAACTTCTTGCGTATCCATTGTCGGTGAAAACTTCGTATACATGTTCCTCTTCCATTCTCTGGGGTTCTGAGGTATTACAGTGTGATGCAGCTCATTTAAATAGTGTCTTGATTTAGCTCTGTTTGTGTATAGTGGGGTGGCTGCTATTGAAGTTAAGGATTTGGTCCGTGTGTGTGGCCTTCCTATATACTCAGGTCCGGAGTCTGCCGTTAGTCACCCTCTTTACCGTTACATCTAAGAGCGGGAGCTGTTTGTTGTTTCCTTCCTCTCTACTGAAATTTATGTTTGTCAAGATGTTGTTGACAGGTTGGTGGGTTTCTTCTAATTTTGTGCGTTTGAGAGAAACAAGCTAGTGAGGGAATTACAACAGAGACGCAAACACCTGATTAGCGGATACCCACACTCAATCCATACGGCCCAGGAATTTCTCACACAGCTCAAGGGCACAAAAATCGACGAGGGCAAATCATGATCTCCTTCGACATTACAGCACTATTTACGTCCATTGACATACTGTTAGCCAGAGAGACACTAGCCTCACTACGAGACGGACCAGGAGCACCAATCCTGAACACCGACAACATCATCAGCAAAGACAGCTCACTGAAACTGCTAGATTTATGCCTCTCAACACAATTCACGTTCAATGGACAGATATACAAACAGATCAATGGCACACCGATGGGATCACTCATCCCAGGTCTCATTGCAAAAGCAGTGATGCAGAGATTGGAACACACAGTCCTTCCTATATTCCAACCAAAAATGTGGATAAGATACATGGACGACACATTTGTAATAATTAAGTGCACAAAAGTAGAGGAAACCCACCAATTTGTCAACAACATCTTCGCAAACATAAACTTCACGAAAGGAAGAAACAACAAACAGCTCCCATTCTTAGACATAATGCTAGAGAGAGATTAACAGTGAATTCCGGACCCAAGTATACAGGAAGGCCAAACACACGGACCAAATCCTTAACTTCAATAGCAACCACCCCACTATACACAAACAGGGCTGCATCAAGACATTACACTGCAACACCCCAGAACTCTGGAGATTGGAAGATGGACACCTGCACAAAGTTTTCACTGACAACGGATACCCAAGAAGTTTCGTCCACGGATGCCTACAAAACGAACGACAATCAGAGGACAGGGTACAACAGAAGACACTAGCAATGCCAACCCACAGAAATGATTACGAGACCCCTAAGACTGTGTAAGATCATGAGTGCACACAAACCTACAGCAACACTACGCCAAATGTTATCAAAGACTAAAGACCCCATACCAACAAAGACCAACACGATATACTGAATACCATGCAGCGAGAGTAACAAACATTACATTGGACAAACAGGGGGGAAACTGATGACCAGGATATGCGAACACCGGCTGGCAGTAAAAAGACATGACCAATATTCACTTGTCTCAATGCACACAGACAATGAGGGCCATCAATTCGACTGGGACAAAGTGACCATACTGGGACAAGCGAACACCAGACATGCAAAAGAATTTTTGGAAGCCTGGTTCTGAACACAGGACTCCATTAACACATAGAAATAGAACCCGTATACAGACTGCTGCTAAAACAACAGAACCAGAAGCGACAAGGCCATCCCACCAGAGGATCATATAAATCCGGAAGGAAGCAGAACACCAACGCTTCGATTAGAGGTTGCACTAGAAGGGTAACCAAATGTCCACACATCACAGAACGGGCTCAGTGAGCTAACGAACAACTGCATCCACACCCTGAGCTACAAATTTTCCCTAAGACCTTACAAACTAATATTTCCTCCAGTTTCAGGTTTCCTGGAAAAGTATACTGTTCTTCCTGACGTTAATGAAATGGCCTGATTGCTATTTTCGCTTCCTGTACAGTGGATTCTTCCTTAATTAATTAATAGATTTAGCACAAATTCAATTCAGCTTTTAGTTTCAATTTTAACTAATTGGCAACTCATGGACTATGGGAAAGTAACATCCTAAATATGCGAGTGTTACTTCCTCGACTGATCTTTTCTCTCTATGCCATGGATTTTACAAGATTACAGTCAGGTAAAGTTTAGCTCTTTCTTCCAGAAATAATGTACACAGAAGAATTAAAGTTTCATATAATTTGCAGATCAGCAGGTACCAGGAGAAAAACAAGCTCTAAGGAAACCAGATGTAGGAGGCTTGGGGAAAATAAATTAGATTCAGAGGCAACAGTGCAAGAGGCCTGGAGCACTGGGAGACTCAGAGATCACTGCCCAACCACACTGGGAGGAGCAGTTCAGGGACATTAAATGCTCAGATTTCACAGTTGAGGAGGCAGGGTCAGTGGGAACATCAAAAGTCAGGGCATAACTGCCACAAAGCTTATTGTGGGTGAGTACAGTTGTCATGGACAATGGAAGATCAGAGGCATGTGTGGGAACTTCAGGGATGGCGCAGATTTTCAGAGACCCAGGTCAAACCTTGTTGAGATGCAAGGTTCCCACTAGCCAGCTTGAGATCTGCTTTGCTACCTAATGTCAATGGAGCATGAGTGAGGCCACTGGCAAAGCTACCCTTGGCATTAAACCCCTGGCATCAAAGTCCCACCTGATGAGAGCTGCTTACCAGTTAGAGGCAGGCAGCTGTCACATTTGGCAGCACCACACCATCCACCACAGAGGGCGCTGTAACTGTTGATGGTAGGACACTCAGGATCTAGAATAGAAGTGATTTGTAGGGGTTGTTCTGGAATTGAGGGTCACAGTGAGAGTGGTCAAGAGCTTCAGTAACATGGGAAAGGGTTGGATCTGTTTGGAAAATTCTCTGTTTTACGTCCAGTCCCTCAATCAGGCACTTAAGGGCTTTAAGAAGTTGACTATAGGCCTTCCCACCCCAATGGAAATGAGAAAGCAGCAGGTTTCAGATACAACACCATCTCATCTCATCAAGTTGCCTTCGTGCCTCCACACATGCCACCTCTGGAAACACACAATTCTGGTGCTTATCTATTTTTCCATTTAATTTCCCATACTGTAGAAACAAAGTGGTTACATCAAGCATTACAGCAATCTGCTAATTTCAATAGATACAAAACCAGGTATTAATCATACAATATAAATCATATTGGACCTTACGTGACCTAACTACAAAGTACCAAACTAGTAGGAACGTGGGAAGTGTCAGGAAAACTGATCTTTATAAAACAAAAAAAAAATCAACGTGTGCAAATGGCTGAAATATTAAAGTGATACAAATAATAGTTCCAGTTTGAGATGATGTTTCAAGGGGTTGTGGGATTGTATGATCCATGAGTTTATTGTCTTCTAAACTTGGCCACTGTGCAGCCAGCCATTGAGGTAGTTCCTCGAATAAAGTTATTAAAGAATTTGCTATTCATTTTTCAGCCAATATTAATAATTGGAGTTTAGCTAAAATAGCTGCAGCAAAGTAAAAAAAAAACTGGAAACCTGCTGCTCCCTCTTCCTGAAAATAGACTCAAATGCTTATGAGAGGATCAATGTTTTCAGAGGAAACGTGCAGTGACTTTCACTAAATGGATTTGAAAATAACCAGAAAATGGCTTCTCCCAGAAAGAGCCTCAAGAATGGCTGTTAGTGCAGATGAAATGTTTGAATTAGAGTCCTGTATCCTTAACACTGGCTAACACACTTCAAGCCACTGTTTAAAGCAGTAGAATTTACAATCGGAGTACTTCATGTCTTCCAAAATCAAGAAAGCCCTGTCCCCAGGGTAGCAAAGGGTAAATTATGTGTCAGTACTATGATTAGTACCTATGCTCACACTTTCATTCAATCCCACCATCCAATCAGTTGCTGGGCAATTCCTTAATCTCTGACAGAACCTGCCAATTTAGCTGAAGGACCCATTTAAATAAAGATGATGAAAGATGGCATAGCATTTGATGTGGTCAATCCATTAAAGAACTGCCCAATCAACTTTATTATTTTGTGCTCAAGATGTAGGACTTTAGGAATAAGAAATGGAGTATTTTCCATTTTGAGCAAAGCGTCATTATCAAGCAGTCCCAGGTTAAGTACTACAGTCAGAAACACAGTTAACCTCTATGTATTTATCCAGTAATGAGCCTCAACCCCAGGTTTCAGAGATAATCCACTATTGTACTAGCATTCTAGACTGGTCACATACATTTCGAGTCTGATACTTTGATCGAGTAGATACAGCAGTTAGGCTGAGGTGACATTTAATTCCACTTCCAAGAGTGAAGGTGGCAGTAAATCCATAATGCACCAGTACCTTTTAGAATTAAATTATTGACTCTTCAATTTGAGCAAGTCAAGGCAAATACTGCACTTGCAGTGTGAAAACAAATTAGCAGCAAACTGTGAAACGAGAAATAACTGCACAAACCATTGAGGGAGCTTAATACTTCCACTCAAAAGGCCTGACTTACCAATCACGGCTTTATGGATTGTCGTCACTTCAAGTCTGAAGTATATTCACTCATACAGGACAAGTATGTAGGATCACCATCAACAGCTGGACAGCGATGACCATCATCAGCTGGATGGTGATAACTGTTAACAAGTAAACAAATTCCCATTTCAGTCTATTTTAAGATACGCTCTTAGAATAAGTCTTGCATTTCAACTTGGAAATTCATTGCTGCTGTATTGGAGAATATGTGCAAATCATGCTCCCTCCACTCCTTGAAGCAGAGTCCAGATATTGTGAAAGTCTGAAGATTTATCTTGGGTGCCTCAAAAGAATAAAATTCCAGTCTTAAGGTTCATTCATTGATTAAAGTTTTCACATCTCTGATCAACAGACAGTCACAATTTCAGTTAAGAGCAGACAGACAGAATATCCTGGAGCACTATTCAAGGCATCTTATCACAAGCAGGAGCAGTCTGCTTTTAAAATGTGCTCTCTAGCAGGCAATGGCAGCCACAGCCTGTGGGACACACTTCCTGAGTCCTAAACCACTCCATCATGTGACTCGTGTGGCCACCATGTCCACAGGTAAGACAGAAGTTGGCAGATCCGCGAACAGCAACATGGCAGATAGCACACTGGAAGGTGAATCCTTTGCAAATAGCACACTGCGTCCCTCGTACTTCACTGCGGCAGTGACAGCAGTACACACCAAATTCTGAAGGAGAAAGCAGACATAAACGTAAATGGACTTAAATTGAGAATTACACCATTTTTTCTCAATTGTCAAGCAACTAAGGAAATGGGAGATGCAAGTGAACACCCTTGACATCAATGCTACATTTAATCAATTGTGGCATCAAGAAGCCCACGTAAAATTAGAGTCAATGAGAAGACTCTGCTGGTTGGAGTCAAACATAGCACAAGGGAAGATTTCTAAACTTACCAATCCCCTTGTGAGGGTCTGGAGGGCAGGAAACAAACTTCAACACCTCTGCTCGCTTCTCTCGCAGACCCCAGCGATAAAGGATCTCCCCATAACACTTCTTAAAGTCATCATATTGCAGCATATTGGCTGGATCAAGTAGCCTGGTGGTTGAGGAATCTGAAGTTAAATCACAAATTCAAAATATATGCAAACAATATTATCTTTGCATGAGAAATAAGAGAGGCCAACCTTCCATCCAGTGAAGTACTTTGGTTACAGTTTCTCAGTTTCTCCATTGTTTTCTGATTGAATCTTTCTATATTATGTACCTGTCATGTTATTTGAGAAGATTCGTAGTCTTGGCCCAGGGTTGTTGAAAATTACAACAGCTGCACAAGCATACCACAGCCCAGGAACAAGGCACCTCCTCCCTCTCTGTGTAGATACTTCTGGTCTCAACTCTCGTACATAGTGACGATGTTCAGATAAGTATTTCAAGATGTGGGGATCACAACACAAACCTTCATTCCTCATCATTCCATGTTACTGCACATTATTGCTACCCACAACCTAATCCTTGACCTCCATCAGAATCACTGTCCCTCTTCATCACCAAGGTTATTAAACTGGAAAGGTGACACACACAGTGCTAATCATTGTCCATTGCCAGAAATTTCCCAAGTATTTTTAAATATTATATGGAAACAGGTAAAGTATGCTCACTCACTTTTTATTCTTTTCATGTTGCTCCTTCTCACGTTCTTTAGGATCAGCATAAAGGTGATTTCCATACCGATAGTCATCTGGTGATTCGTAACACCAAGAATTAAGATGTTCTGGTTCCCTGCCCACTGAAAAAGTGTTAGTATATTAATTATACATTATCTGAGACCAGTACAGCAATATCTCACTGGGTGAGGCTTGAAATCCCACAACATCATTACCAGTTCTGCAATGGCATACAGACAAACAGAGTTCTGCGGTAAAGTAAACTTTCATGGTGATGCTTGATCCCAACAGAACATAATGAATTAGTTGGTAAAGAAGTAGACACCAACAGTGTAAGATCAAGCTTAAGAATGTGATCATGCCTAAGGATGCTAGGCTCAGTAGGCATAACGAAAACTGGGCTGGACTTGGTTACAGGCTGCAAAACAAAATCTATGCATTCAGATGAAAACAAATCATGCAATTAACATCGAATCAGAGATAGTAGGAACTGCAGATGCTGGAGAATCCGAGACAACAAGGTGCAGAGCTGGATGAACACAGCAGGCCAAGCAGCATCACAGGAGCAGAAAGGCTGACGTTTCGGGCCTAGG